TCGGCCAGTGCGTAATTCGGCTTGGTTGGGCCGCACAGGCTAGAATCGCCCGAGAAGTACTGTAGCGAAGATCTTCGCAGCGACGTCCATAAGACGTATGCCGCAATAGTTTTCGCATCTTACTTTACCTCCCTTAAAACGATACTTCTCTTGTTCCCGCTCTCCTTGCGTTGGTGAGCAACTGGCTGCATTTGGGTCGCTCACCTTTAATTACTCTTTGTAAACCCACACCTATTTCACCCCATTTGTCACTGTTTCTCTTGGCATTCCAGGACTGGCAGACCTACCTAATCGATGGTCTCCACTTCTGCAGGAGGGGTAGTGCCTTTGTCGCCGAACGACTCACCCCTGTAGTGGAGTCCAGATTGCCTCCCCGTGCCATGATCTTTCCCCACTGGGAGGAGGCCCTGAAAATCGATTTGCGCAAACCATTACCTTGGTAACAGAATATCCGGTCATCCTTTTGATTTTTCTACTCTTAGTCACTTTACTATAGCGCGCCATTCACATTTAATTGTTTTGCACATTTCAAATGTTTCGGCGTCTCAAAATAAATTACTGAACTCTTCTCTTCTAACCTTGGTGCTCACATCCTGTGTCTTCAGCTAACTCGGTGAATCATTGCATAGTTTTCGAATATTACCGAAGTTTGAGGCCTGTTCCCTGAAGGTGGCTATTTCAACCGTTGGGAACCTAGTTCTAGCACTCTGGGCAGAACTAAGGCGCTCGGCCTGTTTTAGTCATAGTGGGCCTGTTGCGCGGACCTGCCAATTTTGCAGCCTCTTATTTCCCGTGAAATTTTTGCTGGGTTTTTGCTGTGCTTTTGATTTGTAATGAAAAGTAAGACCAGTTTTGTGGACTCAGGACCTCGGTTGTACTCAACTTTCGTAGTTTTCGACCGCCAGACATCTTCCCCGAGATGAGAAGGCGAGGGGGACCTTCGGACGTGCGTGAACGGTAGAATGGTCTTACACAGGTGTTGCCAGTTTCTTGTAATTGTTACGGCTGCTATCACAACTGATCTAGCCGGCCTTGATGCTGTCCCGCACGGTATTTCTTCACGCGTGACGAACCGTGGTAGCAGACCTGGACAGTTCGATGCATTCTCTTCATCAGCGCCGGAAACCGTATACCGAAGGTCCAAGGACCACTTCCATGACCTGATGGACTGATTAGAGCCGGGTTTTGAATTAACTCCCTCTTTTACGTTTCAAAGTAGGTAACGGTTTCGGGTCGAGGACAGTGATATTGA